GACATACTAACTAAGTACTAATTTTATCCTCCCCAGAATTGAATGCCATTGTGTCAGGGATTCTCTTTCTCTTTCTTTGGCATCCATGCAAGGCCAAGAAAAAACCCAAAGTAAAAAAAAAAAAACCCTATCCAATTCTAGCCTAGTAGTCTAGTCTTGTTTCTTTTCTGTCTGCGGGGGCTAGAACAAACCATCCGTGAACCTGCCACTCAGTAGTAAAACAGCCTGGTTCTATTTTATTCTATGGAGTACGTACGTATTCTATTTATTCTTTAGGAGTGGACACATAACAACTTGGTTTTTTTTTTTCGTTGCTGAGTTTGAGGTAAATTTAGGTTTGACCTAGGCCTATCTAGACCTGAGTACTAGACTTTCCCTTTCCCTTTACCCTTCCCCCCCGACCGGTGGTCCGTGGGGACGGTTGGATGGATGGTCTCGACCGCTCCCGGGGAGAATTATCATGTTATCTTTAGGTTTCAGGGTTAGTTAGGTAGTGCGTGGATTTTGACTATTTGCTGAGGTACAGGAGGGTGGTTGGTCAGTTGGATGGATGGTTGGCTGATTGACGATCAACTACCTAGTAGATACTGTTACTTACGGTGCTGACTGCGTTGCACAAATAGCACATGGCTGGTCAGTTGTGGTGGCTCATTCATAACTAATCAAGGAATATAGTAATTCAACGACTCCTTCCTTATGGGGAACAAAAATCTATCTAAAGATAGAATGGAATACGGCCAAGCTTCCGTCGGCGTTAACGGGGGGCGCCGTTGGAAGGTACCTTTTTTTTTGTTTCTTCTGTACACCCCTAGACTAGTACTAGACTCCCAGATAAGCCCCCGAACATATGATGTTAGTCTCGTCGTTTTTCTTTGTCCCCGTTAAACGTGTGTAACCACCACGCAAAGTGTCGCAAGCTAGGGGATTGGGATTGGCTGCCCTGAGAAGGTTCGCATCCGTGCAACATCCGCTTGGCTCCCGTCTCATCCATTCATCTTGTGTGCTGATGCATGCCTCCGTGGAGTCGGTGATTGGTTGAGGAAAATCACCGGTGAGCTTGTGAGTCTTCAGACTGCCACACACGGAGCTGAAGGGTTCTTCGGGATCTGCGCTGGCATCGTTGGCTGCAGTGTCTGGAATGTGTGTCTGTTGTTGTTACACAAGGGGGTCAAAGGCCAAGAAAAAGCCCGCTGCAGTTCAGGTACACAGCAGAGAGACAGTAAGCAGGAAATATTACGTCCGATTGGTCTGTCTCATGCCCGTCTTCGCGTCATCAAATTACCCGTCGTTAGGAATCCTTTGTCGCCCATCGCGCCTCTCCACTCAATCGACAGCTGGCCCAGCACGGCGCGTCCGTCGCGTTTCATGTCCTTCTGCAGGGTCTCCAACCCTTCCTGTTGGCCTTCTTCTTGCTCGACGAGGAATGCAACCTGCAAGACATCCCGCGGATGTAGAGTCGGTGGCCGCGGATCCGCTTGTTCCGGTCCTTGTAGATCCCAATTGAGGGATACAGCCTTGAATGGCGGTTTCGGATTGAGCCTCGTTTGCTGTCAAAATTAGCATGTCGCCCAGGAGACGTCTCACTTTGGCTATGATTTGTGTTCGACGAACCTTGACCACCACAGGACCATCGCCTACGTTCTCTAGTTGCGCTTCCAGAGCAAACCGGAGCAACCGGGTCTTGCCATATGGCCCGAGTGACTTGTTCTCGACTTCCAGGGGCGCCAGCTCTGATGATTTGGTTCGAACACTCAAACAGGGCTGTGCCACGAACTGATAAAGCTTGCGGAAGGTTCTCACACGCCCGCTGGCTGCTTGCGCGTCCGACCCAATCAATGTCTCCGTGTAGCTGACGCTAACCGCCAGGATGTGATTCCCTTCCTCCTTGAGATCAAACCGTACTATTTTTTGTAGTGAATGGCCCTTCTGCACCCCGTCCTTCGAAGCCGTGTCTTCGGCCGGTTCTAGGTCTAATGCCGCTACCTGCGATGGTGTTTGCATCTCTGCCACTATACGAACCGATGTGACGACGCGCGACGTCTCCTCATCCGGCAACTCATTATTGGCGCTGAGAGTGCATGCAAACGTCTCACCCACATACGCAGATCCAAACGCCGGAGGTAGGGTTAACTTGTCGAACAGTCAGTGAGGTGAGGTTATGACTAAACTTGGACGGTCTTCGTACATTGGGGGTGAGGATGAACTGATCGTCGACATTATCGGCGGGATAGCTGAGTGATGCTTTGCTTGAGATCTTCGTGTCTGCTGCCGGGAGGGGGTACTGATAGGATAAGGAAGGTCGCGATAGCCTTGCACGGTCAGGAACAAGCGGAGCTGTCGGGTCAAGTTCGGTGCTTACCGCAATACTGGACAAGATCAGCCAAGGTGCCGTAATAAAAGGGTGTCCCAGCAAAGCGTACCTTTGAGAGAGACTGCATGTGGCTCTTTGGGGGCATCAGCGCCCGAGTGAGCGCGAGGGCGTGCCATGGAGGGATGTGATTGTGAGTTGAACCAGAGACGGACGCGGCGTCATTCCGTCGTTATCAGCGCCGCACTAGCTTCAAGCAAACAAGCCAAATGGGGCAAACCGAGCAAACCTCCGCATTGGCCGGGATACGCGAACTATTGGATCATCCTGGCTCAAACTTGACTTGATAGCTCCGATTTCTTACTCTCATCAGACAAATGGAGATATCCGAACCAGCCTAAGATCGTCAATGTGACATCTACAGTAGATCTTGATGCTAGGCAGGTCATTGATTACGCTTTCTCCCAGATCTGTCATTTTTTTTTTCTTTTCTTTTGAGGATTAGCCTGATTATGTCATGATCCGATCTGATTGCTTATCGATTAGGGGTCGTTTACTCCATACTACGGAAGCCGCCACTGCGACTATTCTTGTCTTGCTACGCCTCCTTTCTCCCTTTGTCAAGCTCCTGGCCTAGAATAGCTTCTGGGTTCAGAATGGGAGTGACACGTACAACTCCTTCTCGCCAGCAGCATGCGAGCGCCTCCACGCCTACGGACGCTCGAGCTACACGCTCAAGAGCTGTGGCAAGCACCCCCGCATCGTCCAGGAAGCGAAAAACGACTGAACATAGTGTCACACCAAGTACGTCATCAAAGAAGTCGCGTCGATCTGCTCCAAGTCGCCCTACTCAAGATCCCGTTGAGGTGATCGATCTGACTGGCGACACCCCTAGCCCTGCTAGAAGAAGAGCTCGAGCACCAGCATCATATGACGAGCCAACTCCTGAGCGCCGCGCGAGAAGATTCCGCACCCATCCTCCCAGCACATATCTTGATAGAGCCGCGCGTGCACTATCCCAGCGGTATGCCGTACTTCTTGTTTGGACCCTGTAGCAAGCTAACTCGTTTCGTACAGCATGTTCGTTGTCGGACATACTGTCACGGAAGTCGATGATGCGCCCGAGATATCATTCGACATTGTCGGTACCACTGGCAACATCTATAAGACCACGATAGGGAAGGTGCCATCTTGCAGCTGCCCAGATGCTCTAAAAGGGAATCAATGCAAACACATCTGCTATGGTACGTTGAGCCCCTTGCGTAGACAGTTACCCCGCACCCTCGTCTCTCTGCTTGGTAATTCTGCAATGTCCGAGTTGCTGATTCTTCTGGCTTGTGAAGTCCTAGTCAAGGCCCTTAGAGCGCCCCAGCATCTTCAATATCAGTTAGCATTCTTGTCGTCGGTAAGTTGGGTTGATGGTAGCCGCATGAAGTTGCAGTGCTCATGGCTATACCTTAGGAACTTCGAGAGATGTACAACGGCTCTCCCATCAGCCGCGAGCAGGCCAACGTTGAAGAAAACAAGGATGGGAACAGGAAGCCCGTTGAAGGCGACTGCCCGATCTGCTTCATGGAGTTCGAACCCGACAAAGAAGAGATAGTATGGTGCCGAGCAGCATGCGGAAACAATATACACAAAACTTGTTTCCAGAAGTGGGCCGCAACCCAGCAAGCCCAAGGAGTGAGATGCGTTTATTGGTATGTTTCATTGCGAGCGTAAGAGCAAGAGCACCGCTGACTCCCCGCGCAGCCGTTCTCCTTGGCAAGCAGATACTGGTAACATGAAGCTTGATGAACTGGTCAAAGGGGCCAATGTAGATTCCGATGGCTACGTCAATGTAGCCGATCAGCTCGGCCTGTCTGGAATTCGCGGTATGAGACCGAATCTGTGATTCTCACGTTTATTTGTTTATTGCCTTCACGTAGGGCTGATACTGACAGCTCTGGTATAGATTGTTCAACATATCATCCTTACTGGGTGCACCGGCAATCGTCTCGTTATGGTTCGCGACGTGGTAGAGGTGCGTGGGACTACGCCAACCGATATTAGTAGTGAAGCTTATCCGTCTGGCCTGGATTGTTTTTTGGATCGTTATAAGCGTCGCAAGTCTGAGATTGATACCCAGCGCATGTTATTCAGTTATATTAATACATTGGTATCATTCTTCCAATTGGGCAGTACATTTAGCTCCATCCAACAATAGGGCGAAATTGCACCGAACATGAATTGCGCTGTCTGTGCGGATAGATTTAAAGTCCTCCCTGCTGCCTGGGGTCCTACCTACTGACCCCAAGTAGTAGTCTTGCTGAATATCACAGCGGCTCTTATCCTGGTAAACCTTCAGCCCTATTCAAGCCGTTGCCGGTAAGCAATAAGTCGATCTTAACAGATGAGCATCCAAAATCAACGATACTATATACCACGCCCGAGCCAACCTCATCGCTCAGATGCAACCTCAGTTGGCCATGCAGACACATGGACAAAGTCCGTGTCCATGATCCGAACCGACGCGCACCCCCACTGCATGGGAATAAGGGGTATCCAACCCCTCCAGACCGGGACAAGTACAGTATTACCCCGTAGAAGGCACACCTCAGAGAGCTCTCTACCACGAAATGAATGGTATCCAAATTCATGTATACAAGCATTATATAGCTATGACAAGAATTTGGTTTCCCAAGGAGATTCTTCATCCACTGTCCTTCACGACCCGCCGACCCCGACGAACAACAGCTACACTGACTGCTTCTTCGCCCGTCATCCACGAAGGCATTTTTTCTGCATTGATAATGCCGTTCTCGGCTAGTTTGCGGAATCCGCTGATTACGTCTGCGCCGGTGAAGGTGAGGGAGAGGGTTGGTGCTGATGATGTTGATGCTGTGGATTTTGATTTGGGATTTGGGGGATCGAGGAGACGGATATCGAGACGGTCGAGCGGAGCAGAGGATAGAGATGCGGAGGTACCGAAGCGTGATTGTACGGTTAAGGTGCGTTTTTTGGAGACGTGTGGGTCTTCGTGGTCGGTGTTGGTTCGTTTGGGTGGTTTAGAAGTGGATGTGTCTGCGTCATCGGGGTGTTGGTTCTCCTTGTGGTGCGATGGATGGTTCATGTGCTCTTCTGGGGTGACGGTGTTGGATGGTCGAGGGTCCAGGGGACTTCCTTCGAGGGCGGCGTCGGCGAAGATGCTGAATGCGCCGGTGGATTGGTTGGCACGGCCGGGGCCGCGGAGAGAGAGGAGCGCTTGGAGACTCTTTGCTGTTAGGGATGTGGATTTGAGAGTGTAGCGCTGGTGGGGGAGAGAGAGGGCCTTGGGGAGGGCGTCGCGGACGAGACGTTGCAGGCTGCGGGGGTCGGTTGCGATGGCGGTGGGGGTTGCGGATGCGCTGCTGGATTTGGAGGAGCCCGGGGTGGAGGCTATGGAGGTGTATAGGTAGGGACAGCTATCTGGAAAAGCGATGTAGATGACGCGCGAGGCGTCGGTGAGGAGTTCGGCGGCCTGGCGCGGATGTTGGTAGGGGGAGTTGGTGACGAAGATGCGGAGGAAGGTGAGAGGGAGTGAGGTCGAGCGGGAGAGGTAGTAGTGCGCTTTTACTAGCGGGGAAATCTGTTGCTGAAGCTTGCTGAGGAAGGTTGAGGCGTGGACACGCGGGAGACTTGCGGAGAGGTCGGAGGGGTCTGATTGTTGCTGTTGTTGGCTTTCGATGCGGGAGAGCTCCAGTGCGGTCCATCGGAGGCTGGAGGAGTGGTCATCGATGTAGCGAAGGTCGACCATGGCTAGTTGTCGCAGGGTAATCCCATGTCTCCAGTCGCCTTCGAGGATGCGATCAATTACTTCGCGTTTGCCGCCTTTTCGCAGCTGCAACTCCTGGTATGCGTTTCGGACATCGTTGACGGTGCGCTCCGCAGGATAGGGACTCAGTCCCTCGTCCTCCTCCTCTTTCTCGTCTTCATCTTCTTGGAGATATGGTGGGAATGCCTGGAGGTTGCGATCTTCGAGCCATTGGAATGCAAGATCCAGCAGTGCTTGTCGGGTGAGCTTGCCAAAGGCTTTGACTAGGGACGGCGTGGAGGAGGGGATGCGGAGGTTGCTGGGTAGACTGGCGGTTGTAGGCGCGCGGACGGACTTTAGGCGGGCCATTGCGTGTGGGAGTTGACGAAGACCTACTAGGTAGGTCCGTGTAGCAACAACTCGGCAGATTGGTAGGGCTGAGTGGTCACTTTGCTGAGTTTGGGTTTGGATACATTGGATGCGGCGCGAAGCTAACGGGATTGCGGGTGGTTCCTGGGGCATCAACAAACAGCGTCACGTGGAGATAGAATCACCGGGTCTTATCTTAGTGCGGTTGGCAGCGCAGGGGCTCCCGCATTCTAAGTCGATCGTCTCCAGTCATTCACTACTCCTCTTTTCATTGATTTGATGTCTGAATAGCGCTATAGATGCCGGAAATAGCGTGATTACAGGGTATGTTGTCTACACGTCGACTATCGTGTGATACATGAACATACCATATCTGCAAGGATGGAGAGAGGGGAGGTTGTGGATAACCTCATACGATAAGTATGCAGATCCCGATTATTAATGAGGAGGTTTTGAGGTTGTGCTCGCGGATAATTTTACCCTTTTTTGCAGTCGGCACTTGGCTAACTGGATTCAGCAGGTACACGAGATGTGGTTTATAAGCAGGGAGATTAACTCCTCGCGAACCGCGCAAAATCCGAAGTTGAACAATAATACTAAACGATACTAAGGTCGCCAAGCCATCAGCCTTGAGCCAACCAGGGCATCCATAGCGGACACCCGGTCAAGCAAGTCTGGTAGACCATAAGCCAGTGCGAGGAATTTGTTCAATCTGACTTCACACGAGAGTGGCCAGAGTCATCCCTAAAGTTCAACCGGTTTGGACCCTAAAACCAGGCCGGCGAAGGACGGCGGCAGTGCGATTCTTTGGTTCCGCAAGCCCGACTTCGGCCACCGGAAAGAGGATGACTCGGGTTCGATGTCATCAGCGGAAAAGCATTTACTGTAGTGGTTAGTAGTGATTGTGCGGTGGCAACACGCGGCTCCCGGGTAACCCAACGCAGGTACTGTGTCGCTAAAGGGAGGGAAGGAAAAGTATCTAGATTCCGGGGCCCAGCGGATGGGGAGATTAGATCTAGAAATAATTTGGAAAAGAATACTTGATGGAGTGAATGATTGCAAGATGATGCAAGTAGCGATCGGAGCGAGACAAAAGCGTAAGTGAAAGAGAGGGACGGTTAGTCACCGGGATTATTCAACGGGGCCATTGTGCCGCATTTTCCCCCCGATAACTTAATAATCAGCGGCTTCCCTCCAATTCCCCCGCCCCGCCGCAAATTCCCACTCTTTTTCGTCTCCGGCTGTCCCACACTCCAAACTCGACTTGACCCTCTTTCTCTCTTCGACTCTTCCCACGCCTTTTATCTTCTCCTGTCTCGTCTTCGAATCCCGCTGACACCCCATATCGCTTGCATTGCGACCCCATCGATTGGTCCGCCCACGACGAATACACTGTGCGGGTTACCGTGAACGGTTTTGAATACTTGGTGGTGATCGTACGACCAAGTGTCCCTGTGGAGAGGGACTTCGATATAGAAACTACGAAACCTGACTACAATCCTCAATACTCGCGTCGCCGGATTTCAGGGAAAGAGGCCCGTAAAGCCTCAAAAACACATCATGTCCGAATTCAACGGCCGTCGGGCCCCCAACTTCTCTCAATATCTTGATGACCTGAATGCCATTCCTTCGCCGTACGATCAGGCCCTTCAGCAGCAACATCAGGATTCATACAACCTCGAAAATGAACTATCGCTTTTTACCAATGCCGAATTCTTTGATTTCGACAAGTTTGCCGATCTGAATCTGCCCAACTTTGACCAGCTGGAGGACAACACAGTCAAGAAGGAAACCGCGCAAGACACCAGCTCTGACATGGACTTTTTGAATCTTTTGGGAGGTGAGTTGCTGCAGAGTTTCTTTGAAAACACCACGATATACAATCCTTGGGTCCAAGCTGGGTGGTTACGGGCAACTGTTGGTGTATTGTTGAAGCAGTTGCATACTTCCTGCATGTGCACCGCTTCGCCAGTTGCTTCAACCATCAGCCCTCATCAATGTGCTTTTTCCATACCTTCAGCCCGCCAACCACCTCTTCCATTTTTCTTTCATTTTTTCTTTTGTCCAATTTGATTTGATTGTGCGAATCTCGTACCCTCTCAGGGACTAGTACTAGTGGGAGAAGCTTTACTATATCCCTGAGACACGAGCTGTTCCTTCCGCCGCGCACCTCATCTGCAGGCTCTCCCATTGGCTCGTATGCTGCACGGGGTCCTCTTTGTCTGTGCGCGATCGCAAAACGTGCAGCAGCCTTGCCTTGGCCTGGGATAACGCCAATCGCTCTCGTGATGGCGCCATACCACGTGACCCGTACAGCGTGGGAGGTTGCATAGAGGCACCCTTTGTGGCACATTCAAGATGATCTGGGCTCGTGTTGATCCCAGTGATGCTGTGCTTTATACCCCTTCCGCCCAGCTTTGGACCCTTTTCCCTTGGTCGACTTGCTTGCCTCATCAGGGGCTTTCATCCAATCATGAAAGTCATGACTAACGTTCTCTAGAAGGCTTCGGCAACGTCAACGACATCTCCTCTACTATGAACTCCATCAACACCCAACCTTTGCCGGTCCAGAACACACAGTACTCTGCAGTTCCGTCCCTGCCCAACGGTCCTCTCAACATCAACCCTGCTCCTAGCCAAGCGGCTTCTCAGCCCTCCCCGCAGTCCTCGATCACATCCCCGCCGTCTGCGGCTGCCATCCCCGCCCCGGCCCCGGCTACCACCTCCCCGGCAGCAGGACCTAAGCGCAAGAACACACAAAAGACCCCGGCCATGAGCGTAGAGGAGGCCGCGCGCGTTGCCGCCGAAGAAGACAAGCGTCGCCGGAACACCGCCGCGAGCGCCCGCTTCCGTGTGAAGAAGAAGATGCGTGAGCAAGCTCTCGAGAAGACCGTCAAGGAGACCACCGAGAAGAACACTGCGCTGGAGGCTCGCGTCACGGCCCTGGAGCTGGAAAACCAGTGGCTCAAGAACCTGATCACCGAGAAGAACGGACAAACATCGGAAGAGGCCAAGAAGTCGGAGAGCGACATCGCCGCCATGTTCAAGAAGTTCCTGGCTTCTCAACAGCAGAAGGAGACCGAACGGAGTAGTTCTGAGTCCAAGATCGGCGTGGGCACTGCCTAAACCCGACAATTCTCGTGTTGTCTTCTTTTCTTGCTTGTTCATTTGAGCTTTGTAGATGATGTTTATGCAGAGTCGCTGATTCTCCCATCATTTTTTTTATCTCTTCTTATTCTTTTACCTTTTTTTTCTCTCTTATATCTAATGGTGTACATGAGGGGATGGCGTCGCGGTGCTCGGAAATACCTAGGCTCGTCGGTGGCATGAGTGATGTTTATGAAGTACAAAAATTCTTCGATCGAAACAGATCAGACCAGGAGAAGCTGTTGCGCATATCACGCAGTCAGTCCCTGTTTTCTTAAAAAAGCATATGACAATGAAAATGAAACATTGACAATCAAGTTATAAAATAATATCTTTTCCATCTATACTCTGCTTATTATAGTAGATAATCATCGCCATAATTATATCTACTAACTTGCTTGTCTGGCGTTATCCCGCACCATTACCACAACGGCCGATACTTTTTAGATGGGGAAGCCATTTGCTACTAACTAACGATAAGTAGTCACAACAAAGTTAGCACACTGTCTTCTTCGTCTATTCGTAAAGCTGATTGACAGCCCGGACGAAAAGTTCTCGGCCCAAGCTGGTACTGTATACTTCAGCTATGCAAAGCTAGCAGCGTGTGCCTCGGAACACAAGAGGGTAATGGTAGCATAGCAAATACGTTCATGTAAAGTAAATATGGAAGAAACAGAAAGCGGGACAAAGGTAATTTGACATCAAGAGAAGATGAAGAAAAAGACAAGATAAAAAACAGAGATAAAGATAACATTGATCAATGTGCCATACATGCTTGCAAGCCCTTGGGGATATCAAATAGAAACCGTACCGTACCGTGCCGTGCCGTCCGTCCGTCCGTCCGCCCGCCCAGATAGATAAGTCCAGTCCCGTGTGCACCGTGCCCAGTCCCGCGTTTATTCATCCTACCGATCTTGGTTCTTGGTAAGGAGGGGGATGTACAGATGTGCAAAAGGAGTGAAATCAGGAAAGGAAATATGTGGAATGAATATCAAACGCCGTTTTAACGCCTCATAGCAAGATAATAGATAGGTTGTGGGGGTATGTGGAGGGAGGGACTCATTCAGTCTCTGGGTGAGTTAGTTATAAAAACGAAACCCTCCGTGTATGTGGTTGCATTAGTCATTACTTGGAAAGAAAGAACGCAGAAGCAAAAAGAGCAAGAAAGCAGAACAGGGTTCACTCAATCTGTCATGGAATATCTCATCTTGCGTAACTTCGTTGCAGTTGTAAAGAAGGAAAGAGAATGGAAAAATTTTCTTTTCTTCTTGGAAAGATGATCTGGGTGGGAGAGTTGATTCGATACCCGATCAAATCAACCACCCTACTCACCAGAAAACTCTCTCTTCATGTCTGTCACACCCTCAACTTTGATTTCGGGCTCCTCCTCTCTCCCTTCGGCGAGCTTCTCTTCATCGCTCTCTTCACCGTTAATCTCTCCCCATCCTGAACTGCGACGGCTGATTCGCCCCGTCAATGGTTGGTTGCTTGACGGCCCGGACCATGGACTGCTCATACCGGTCCCAGTGATGCTGGCTGCATTGCTGTCGTGGCGACTGTGCGACTGGGCCGCGCTGATGACGCTCGCACCGTCTCCTGCAGTGGCGTTCTTGTGAAAGCTGCCGCGCTCACCGCTCCCTGCGAGAGGCGTGGCCCCGGAGGCCGAGTAGACGCTGGCACGCTCAACACTAGCAAGACCCACCAAGCTAGGTCTGTTGAGGACACCCGGCGGATTGAATGAAGAGGAGGTCGCTGACTCTCCGACATTTCCACTCAGCACACTCAACGGTAAACTCTCTCGGCTGCCACCGAACACGGAGGACGGCGCCAGGGCGCGAACAGAGGCATTTGTG